AATCTAGGGAAGCTGCCCTTGAGGAGTTCACTGGGCGTGTCTGGTGGAGGCCCTGATTTATTTTCAGGAATGTCTACTTCCCAGTGCTTTTCCAGAGGAAAAACCTTGGTGGGTGTGGGGATGGGGACAGTCTTGGGACATAAGGTGACTTCTCTGACTCAGGTGCACCCTAGCTCTATGACTCTGGCCACAGTCAGCCTAGTATGTGAGCTGTTTGTGTACCTTTCTCTCCCCCAAGGACAGACGCTATATCCATCAACTTGCTATTTCATGGAGAGAGTGGGGCCAAGCTGTCTTTTAGAGCACTTTTGCAGAAGTGCCACCACTGATTGGATTCCCACTCTGACTTCATTACTAATGCATATCATGACCTCAGTCTCCTCCTTTGTCCACTCTGGGCCTTGGTTTCCCCTGTGTAGCACAAGTGGCTGCAACCTTGATGGTCTCTCAGCCTTTCCAACCCTTCTTCTCTCACCCTAAAATGAAGTCACTGCAGGGGAGGAGGACCAGGTCAGGCAAAGAGCTGGAAAGTGCTCGAGGGCTTAGAGAAGTCTGTGGTGCTGGTTGTGGACATCACTTCTGGGAAGTGAGAGTGCCGTGTTTGGCTCCACAGGAGGCTGATGGCCAAGCAGCAGCATCAGTAGGGCAGTTCCCTGGGCATTGCTCTACTGCCTAGTGTCTAGCACCTAGAGAGGGCTCGAAAGTATTTCTTGAAAGAATGAAATCAGAAATCCACAGGACAAATTAAGAAGCCAGACGGTGGATATGTTCTCCATCCTTTGTTTCCCAGGAAGGAGAAAAGAATATTTTTCAATGGTTGTTAGCATTCTTTTAGGGGCTTCTCTCACTTCCAACAGGGTAAAAATGATATCTCTCACCACCACTTAGTTCTGTTATAATAATTTAACTTCTAATATTTCTAGAGTGTTTTTCTCTTAAAACAATATCAGTCCCTTAAAAGAGTTGGACCACAGAGCATGTCTGAGATGTCTCTTCGAGTCCGGGGTTTTGTTGGTCTTCTGTTGGGATGCCAAAGCCCATCTTTGGGAAGGATCTGTCAGCTCTCTCAGCTGCCCAAGGCAGGACACTGAGTTTATCCAAGTGCTGTTCACTCTGTGGGGAGCTCCATAAAGAATCTCAGAGGGCCTGGGATTCCTTGGGCAGGGAGATATGCCTGGTGCATTCAGCCTGGTGTGCAGAAAAGGTCTCCCCGTGGAGCAGGAACACTCTGGTTGCCTGAAGCTCACTCTGTTAGGGCTTGAGATGCTGGGGATGGGAACTTGTCCAGAGCATCCTAAACTTTTTGGTCTCTTTGACTTGAGGAAGAATATCACATCAACTTTTCCTCTCAGTCAGTATCATCACGGGGAAGAGAGGTAGGGTACTAAACTGTCAGAAGAAGGGAGAGCCAGGGAGGGGTGGGGGGTGCTATGCACTGAGTGGATCCTTTGTAGTTTGTGTATGTGCTATTTGTTTATATATTGCTTTCCTGAACTGCTGGTGATATGTGGAAGGATTACAAATATTACGGTTAAATGTGCTGCTGCATCTCACGGTGGCTTTAATCAGCGACTCCAGTGACTGGGCACATCAGGACAGTGCGGAGGTAGAAGTGGTGGCCTCCAGTGGGGAGCCCCTCCACGTGTGCACTTGAAGCCCCTGTGCTGCTTGTCCAGAGGGCTGCTCACCTGCTTTGGATCTGTCTTCAGGATGGATGACCCCTGGGTCAGTGAGACGCCCTTTCACCTATTCACGAGAGAAGGAAATTATTTTCCAAAATTAATAGGGAAAGTAATATGGTCAGAGAAGAGTTAAAATACGGATTATACATTTATCTGCCCCATGTGTACTTCACAGGGCTCAGTTTCTATCTCACTCTTTTTCTTCTTGATTTTATTTTTATTTATACATTTGTTTATTTATTATGTATTTATTTATTTATTTTGAGTGACAGCTACATACACACATCACACACATTCCGAACTAAAACCCAGCAATGAATTGCTCAACTCAGGAGAGCAACCTATCAATTTATTGGGGAATAACCAGTTGCTCAGCTATTTTAATTGATGGGATAAAAAAATTAGCCCTTAGGCATTTAACCCATCTGACAAATCTGGGTCAGTTTAGGGCCTGTGGTGACACATGGAAAGGCCCAGAATGCAGATAGTGTGGGCTGTTTTGGGGGAAATGGCCAGGCTGTTGGCACTCAGGGAGGCCTGGGCAGGAGGCCTGTGGGGACCACTGTGACACAGGCTTAAGACGAAGCTGAGGCCCAGCCAAGTGTGGGCTGTGTCCCAAGAGGGTGGGGCAGCAGCTGATTAGCAGCATCTAGTGGGGAAGAAACCAAATTGTCACTCCCCCTCCTGCCCCCATTTAATAGTTGAAGATACTGAGACCTAGAAGCATGAAGAGACTTGCCTCACGGAAGTGGGTGAGGACTAACATCCCAATCGTAATTCCAAAATTGTTTCTCCTTTCTGAAACTCAGTCAGGTAGAAAAATGTTTTAAGGGCTAATGACTAAGCATCCCTGCAAAATTCTGTGTGTGTGTGTGTATGTGTGTGTGTGCACACACGTGCCACATGTTCCTGGAACGGACCTTGCCGCCGTCTCCCTGTCCCACTCCGGGCTTGGCCCTGCCCTTCCCTGGCTAGCACCCAAGGGTCCTGCCTGGTTGCTCAACAGCTTTGCTGAGAATGTTCCACCAGCTCAAGTGACATGTCTTAACTTCTCCACTCCTCGGCATTGGAAAATGGCACACACATAGGCAGCAATTGACTCTGAGTAACAGAAGCTTCTTGTTTGCAATCCAGACAGCCATTGTAAACAGCCCAGCCCACTAACCCTGAGATGGAATCCTTTCCATTTTCTAATTCTTTGTTATGTCAAGCATCCTTAAGGATTTTACTAGTTTCTCTCCTATGACCTATTTTCAGATAGCCGATAGAGCTTTGTTCATCACCAACTATTTTAAATTTTTACCAAAAAGTAGACCTTGGGAGTGGATGGTGCTTACAGAACACCAGGCTCAGATAGGGTAAATGCTTTCCAGAACGTCACACGGCTATGAAGGCATGGGATTGGAATATAGAACTGCCAACCACTTGGTAGTCCTGGCATATTTTAAATATCTACTTGTGTTTGTTAGGATGCTTTTGGCCTCAGGTAACTGACAGTGTAGCTCAACATCACTGGGAGTCTAGAGGTGGGGAATGGGTGCTCTGGGGTCAGCTTTATCAGTGGCTGCAGCTCCAGTTTCTCTGCAAAGTCCTTGTGTACATCCTCTCTGTATTCTGTCTTTGTCTGAGAGTCATTCCCTCAGGTTGCAAAATGCTGTTTTAGTTCCTTGCTGCTGCACCTCCCACCTTCCTGCCTGAGACATCCAGGTAAGAGAGAGGGCAGCACCCCAACATTCCAACACATAGTCCTGAAATGTACCCTCACTGGACCCTGGAGCCACATGCCCCTCCCCGAAAAAGGACCAGGGCAGACACTGTTGTGTGTTCACTGATTAGGTCTGGCCCCTGGACCAATCACTAGCAGGGGAGTTGAGATGACCCTGCACCAGTCAGGCCTCCCCAAGGCACATGGGTTGTCTGAGGGAAGGGTAGACTACTGAAAAAAAAAAAAAAAGGAAGAAAAGACAAATTATTCTGGGAAGCTGCAAGGAAAAATAGATGCTTAGGAGCAACAGGTAGTATCCATTAGGGTTTTCAGATACTGTGCCACAAACTTCTTGCAGACTTCTGCTGTGATGAAGCTTGTATTTGCAAAGCCTGACTTAGAAAGATGAGGGCATGAGGAACTGGGGCGTTGGGGCTCTCCTAGGTACAGGCCCTGTGCTGGTGTTCATTTGTCTGCTCTTTTGATCAACCAGAAAGAGCCTACTCAGTGCCAGGCACTGGGGATTTAGGTGCAGTGAACTCTGCTGGTGCCTGGCCCAGTTCCCTTTTGTTGGTGGTACTGTGAGCGTTGGCTGCTAATAGCTCACAATTGCCCTTCCCATTCCAGAAAGTTGTCCTTGGCCGATAGGAGCTAATTGACCCAGGAAGTTACACACCATGCCCCACCTCTTGAGGACAGCCCTCCAGAACCTTCCCCCTGTGGATCAGACCAATGCTAGGTGTTACCTGAGACCACGTCCTTGCTTGGCTCCTTACCTTTCCCATCATGCTGTCCTTACCTGCCTATGGGCTCCTTCTAAGACAACCTCCTCAGTACCTAACATGCACCCGAATCCCCATCTCAGCCTCTGCTTCTAGGAAACCCAATCTAAGACAACCATGAGCAGACTGTTGTTGAGGAGCTCACCATTTCCCATGAATTATAGATCTGTAAAGATGTGTACATGAAAAAAACATAGGAAATGACACCACAGAGCAAAAAAAAAATATGCCTTCATTTTATGTACAAATTGGTATAAAAAGCATTGACAGTATTATGTCCAACTAGAGAAATCAACAAGCTTTTTGGAATACCATCTCAGTATCCATGGGGGTGGGTTCCAGTACCCCCCTGCAGGTGCCAAAATCTGTGGATACTCAAGTCCCTGATATAAAATGGTGTAGTATTTGCATTTACCTGGGCACATCCTCACATGTAATTTAAATAGTCTCTAGATTACTTTTAATACCTAATGCAAGGTAAATGCTATGTAAATAGTCATTATGCTATATATTTTTTCTATTTGTAGTATTTTTATTGTTTTTTTTTTTCTTTGAATATTTTTGATCTATGGTTGAATCCACAGATGTGGAAGCTGATGATATGGAAGCTGACTGGACTAAGCTTTTGGCAGTCCCCAGGGTGAATATAAAAGTTAAATACTATGAAGGATGTCCAGGCACTCATAACCACCATGTATAGCACACACCAGTCACTGTATTACTTCTTTCCTTTGGTCTTCCTTGAGGATAAGATGGAGCAATGGGTTTCTTTTGTTATTTTTTTCCTGCTAACCTCAGGTCTACTTCTCAACAGGACAATCTCCAAGAAAAATGAAACCCATGCTGGGCCTGGGCCTGTTCCTGGCTGGCCTTCTCACTGTGAAAGGTCTCCTGAAGCCCAACTTCTCACCAACCAATGATGGAGCTGTGAGCCAGGCCCGAGAGTGGAAGGGAAGGATGGCAGCCAAGGACCTTGCAAGGAGCAACACGGATTTTGGCTTCAAGATGCTCAAGAAGCTGGCCTCCAGCAGCCCTGGCAAGAACGTCTTCTTCTCCCCCTTGAGCATCTCCACAGCCTTCTCCATGCTGTGTCTGGGTGCTCAGGACTCCACCCTGGCTGAGATCAAGCAGGGGTTCGACTTTATGAGGATGTCTGAGAAAGACCTTCATGAAGGCTTCCATTACCTCATCCACAGGCTGAACCAGGACAACCAGAATATCAAGCTGAGCCTTGGGAACACCCTGTTCATGGACCAGAGGCTGCACCCTCAGCAGAAGTTTCTGACAGAAGCCAAGAACCTGTACAATGCAGAAACTGTCCCAACCAACTTCCAGAACTTGGAAGATGCTCAGAAGAAGATCAATAACTATATCAGTCAGAAGACCCATGGGAAAATTAATAACCTGATCAGGAATATAGACTCTGGCACTGTGATGCTTCTTACAAATTACATTTTCTTTCGAGGTAAGGCTTGTGGCATGTTGGTGTGGAAAGGATAGACTTGGATTAAAAACCTGCCACTTGCTTGCTTTGTAACCTTGAATTCATGTGTGATTAATCTCTCAGAACCCCATTTTTCCTAATTGTAAAATGGGTAACATGATACAGGCAGTTATTGGAATTCAAAGTGAAAATATATGGGAAATGAGCTTGATGAAGTCTAAGTCACTCTCCATATGTTCATTTTCATTATTACTGATTATCCTAACACAACACTAATTGTAGAGTTTGGAATGACATTTTGTTCCCATTTCTTAAATGAAAAAATATTCGGAGAGATTAATCAGCCTTCTTCAAGTTACAAAGCCAGTTAATGAGAGTCAGGGGTAGAACCCATTTCTCTTGGCCCTAGGGCTGTGCACTTTCCATCACTACAAATAGACACCCAGGATGGTAACTGTGTTGATGATGGTGATGAGGATCACTTTGGTGGGTGCTTTGATCTCCTTATTAGATTCTGTAGATTCCCCAGGTCTGAGGGAGAGTGACTAAAAAAGATGAACAGCCCCAAATTCAAGCATCATTCCCTGCCCCCACACACACCCACTTATAGACAACATGCACACAAAGAGGCTGGCATAAATAGGTGAGAATCAGAGCGCAACAGCCCTCTGGGCAAAACCACTGCTGGGCTGTCAGCAACATGGTCCTGCATACAAAAGTTCAGGTCTCCCAAAATCTACAGAAAGATTGATGAGTGTGGAGAAAAAAAGAAGTAGTAATGGTAGTCCAGAGCCTTAGTCTGCCCAAACCAGAAAAGTAGAAAGGAGAATTGGGAATTTTCCAAAATCCCTATGTCCCCTAGATCACAACAGGAACAACGGTGACAACAGGGATGTTGATGATGATGATAATGACTAGCATCCACTCGACACTCACTATACACAGTCACTGAGTGATACTGCCTTATTCTTCTGAATCTAAATATCCCCATTCTACACATAGGGACAATGAAGCCCAGGGAGATTTAGATATTTATCCAAGGTCATCCTTTCAGTACAGTGAAGCCAGGACTTGAAGGGGTTGGCCCTCAGGGCCCTCTATTGAGTGCCCTGAGGGTAGCAGGTTTGAAGAGCGCCAGGTCTGAGTTTATGCCCAATGGAGTCAAAGCATTCTCAGGATCAGAAAGGAGGGATACAAACACACAACTCGAGGTGTTCACTGCTCTTCAGCAAGCTCCCAAGGACAACCTGTTTCATTAGTTTTCTCAGCCCACATGAGAGCAGCTTCTTCAAGGCTGATGTAGAACAGAGTCAAGCATTTTCACTGTGTCAGACCCAAACAGCCCCCACTAAATGCAATCCAGTGTCCTCTGTTAGGACATGGTCTACAGGCTTCTCTGACTCAGGGGCCTCTGGGCCTAGGGTAGTCCGCTGCTCCACTCTCAGCTCAGCAGCCCTGGTCCTGGCTTCTTTGGGAAATGATCATGGGCCTGAGACCATCTCATCAGGATTCTTCAGGGCATGGCATGAGGGCAGGGATTTAGGGAGTCTTTCCCTGATATTCCAGAATATCCAAACCTCACATCTGTGTGGACGGAGACTAATGGTTATTTGGATCTGTTCCACTCTTTTCTCTTGGGATACTCATGTCACCTTGTCTTTCTTCAATACTAAGCCAGGTGGCAACATGAGTTTGATCCAAATGCAACTAAAGAAGAAGACTTCATTCTGGGCAGAAACAAGTCAGTGAAGGTGCCCATGATGTTCCGTGGGGGCATGTACGAAGTCGGCTATGATGACCAGCTCTCCTGCGCCATCCTGGAAATTCCCTACCATGAAAACATCACAGCCACGTTCGTTCTGCCTGATGAGGGCAAACTGGAGCACGTGGTGGAAGGATTGCAGGAGGACATTTTTGCCAGATGGAAAAAATTAATCTCGCACAGGTAAAGAGGGTGCCCGGCCCATGCAGCCTCTTCCTTCTTCCCGCCTTCCCCCCACTCTCTTTCCTCCTTTCATCCCAGACTTCTTGAGCTCTTGCCTCATGGCCAAGTCCTCTTCTGGGCTCTATGATGAACTTATATTATGGTGGGAAGTAGACTGGGAAGCAAGTCAGACAAGTACAATGAAAACACTTGCTTTTCGAGGGAGGTGCATGAAAACTGTGGGAGCGGCATGGATGCAATCTTGGTGGAGGGTGGTGGTCAGGGAAGCCTTCACAGAGGAGGTGGCATTTAAGTCTTCAAGGCCGAATAGCTGTCTGTATGGAAGGGAGAAGAGCAATGAAATCCTAGGCAAAGGAAACTGCAAGTACAAACACTTGGGGTGTCAAAGGGAGCTGTGAGCTGTTCATTGTAAATAGAATGATGTTTTCGACTGTGGTGTCACAATACAACCAATGAAGCTTGCCCCACGTAAGTTATACTAATCATAACCGAGGGACCAAAGTGAGTAAATACTTTTCTTTTAAAACATTAACTTAGAACAGATTTAGGATCAGCGCACAGAATCCCTCTCAGGCACTTGCCTTCTGATTTGTTGAAAGGTCAACAAACCTTGTTCCAAGGTTCTCAGCAGATCTTTGAACCTCTGGTTTATTGAACCACAGGTGTCCGGCAAATCTGACCCTTCTAGCCTCAGGATGGAACACCAGGACAGCAGCTCCCCATTGGAGGAGAAGAAATAGCATCTCTGAACATGGGGATACCCTTGAAGCAACCGGCAGTTTACAGCCTGTGCTCTACAGTTTTAGAGTTCACAGTGGTGTCTTGGGGGACCCTCCCTAGGGGATTGAGGGGTGTGGAAAGTGAAGGGAAGGTGGACAATGGGAAGGACACCAGGCCCTCTACCCCCACTTCATCTAGAAGTCCTGGCCTTGTGAGACTTAGACTCTAGCAGATCACATTTCCTTTAGAATTCAGATGACAGCCACTTGAGACCCTCCTTTGGTTCGCTGGAACTCGGCATCCTGAGTGCACCCCGCCCCCATCTCCAAGTTATTTCTAACAATTTCCCATGAGGCTGCAGCTCTGGTGTGGGCAGGGGTGCTTCGTGTTCCCCTCGCCAAGGCCCTCTGCCTGGAGGACCACAGAGAGGAGGGTTCCTGTCACCCCAGGTGCATCCTGCCTCCCCAACCCCTTCTGGCCCTGGAATGACAGACGGCGGGAATGTCTGCCTCCCCCGTGGGAAACTCCACACCCTCTTGCAGGGCACCGGACTTGCCCATGGTCCCCAGGGGGAAATTACACTCTGTGAGAATGTGACAGGCCAATGTTCCTGCCTTCTGAGCTCATTCAGTCTGGAAGGCAAGTTGTCAAGTTGCTTTGGTCTGCAGGCAGGGCCTGGTCCAGACCACTTCAGTGGTTCTTTGTGGGAGAGAGGAAGGGGATGGGATATTCCTCTGTGTTCTTTCTGCAGTCCCCTTCAGACCGGGTGGCCCAGGAGAGGCTGAAGAGTAAAACCACCTTTTTCCCATAGAAAAGTAACCAAGTCAACAGACACACCCCTAAAAGACACACCCCCAATTTCCATGTGCGTAGGACATGTCGGAATTTAGGTTACAGATGACTTCAGCTTGGCCTTTGTCTAGAAGGCAGGCAACTGCTCTGTATTTGCATAATTAGAGGTTGGCCGCTGCTTCGATTTCCCCAGAGGGAAAGTTCTGTTTTCCCAAAGGGTAATCAGAAGTGCCACTTTTGTGGGGGCACAAGACTACTGGAAGCTTTGCAACAGCCGCTTTCCTGTTAAAACATGCTGAGGGCCCACTCCCAGCCTGGGTACCCATGGTCCCCAGGGGGAAATTACACTCTGTGAGAATGTGACAGGCCAATGTTCCTGCCTTCTGAGCTCATTCAGTCTGGAAGACAAGTTGTCAAGTTGCTTTGGTCTGCAGGCAGGGCCTGGTCCAGATCACTTCAGTGGTTCTTTGTGGGAGAGAGGAAGGGGATGGGATATTCCTCTGTGTTCTTTCTNCACTTCAGTGGTTCTTTGTGGGAGAGAGGAAGGGGATGGGATATTCCTCTGTGTTCTTTCTGCAGTCCCCTTCAGACCGGGTGGCCCAGGAGAGGCTGAAGAGTAAAACCACCTTTTTCCCATAGAAAAGTAACCAAGTCAACAGACACACCCCTAAAAGACACACCCCCAATTTCCATGTGCGTAGGACATGTCGGAATTTAGGTTACAGATGACTTCAGCTTGGCCTTTGTCTAGAAGGCAGGCAACTGCTCTGTATTTGCATAATTAGAGGTTGGCTGCTGCTTAGATTTCCCCAGAGGGAAAGTTCTGTTTTCCCAAAGGGTAATCAGAAGTGCCACTTTTGTGGGGGCACAAGACTACTGGAAGCTTTGCAACAGCCGCTTTCCTGTTAAAACATGCTGAGGGCCCACTCCCAGCCTGGGTACCCCTCACACTTCTGCACATTTACTGGGCTGTGTACCCACCTTCCACAGCAACCCACCATTTGGTCTTCACACTTTGGCATGAGCTAAAGTTGATCTCCCTGCGTGCCGGATCCTGTGTCCTCTCGATACTCAGGAATGTCACCCTGCAGATTCTCTCCCTGCTCTCCCACAGCAGCAAGTGTTTTTGTTCTCTGCTGAATCATTTCAATCAGATAGAAATATGCTATTATTTTTCCCATTGTAAAACCTGACAGGTGCCCAGGAATAGCTTACAGCACATAGAAGTGACTAGAGCTGGCCTGCAGGAGATCTCAAATGCTATTATGCTTCCTGGCATAAAACCTTTTCTTGATCTGCACGTCCCCCACTGACTGCTCAATCCTGTTGCCCCCTTGTGCAGGTAAATACCTTGAGGCAGTTGTGTCTGTTGACTGTCCCCAGCTGCTCTCATCCTCTCCTAAACCCACTCCAGTCAGGCTTCTGTGCCCACCTCTCTGCAGAGACCCTCATTGCCAGGGTTGCCAGGATGTCCCTGTTGAAAAACCTGGTGGCCAGTTTCAGGCCTCTCTTTCTCGAGTGGTCAGTGGCATTTGTCCGGGTTGATCTCCTGACCTCCTTCAAGGGCTCCCCTCACTTGGCTTCCAGCCGCCCACTCTCCTGGCTCCTCCTGCCTCTCTCCTTCCTAGTCTCTCTTGCTGGAGAGCCTCTTCCCCCGGAGGTCTGACCCTAGTGCTGTGGGGCTCAGTCCTCAGGCCTCTTTTTTGTCTATATTCACCCCTTAGTGAGCAAACCAGGCTCAGAGCTTTAAACACCGTCTGCGTTACCATGCCTCCCACACTTCCCATGCCCAGTTCTCTTCCCAAACTCCAGGTCACGTGTCCATCTGTTTAGCCAGGATCTCCCCTGGATGTCCAATGGGATCTCAGTCTCAGCATGTCCAGAATGACGTTCTGATCTGCCCCTGTGGAACTTTCTCGGGCTTGCCTATCTTAGTTCATGGCGACTCCATCCTTTTAGTTGCTCAAGCTAAAAACCCTGGAGTCATCTTGACTCTGTCTTCTCTCAAAACCCTCATTCAGTCAGGAAACCCCATTAGTCCTACTTTAAACTATATCTGGAATCTGTCTCTTCCCACCACGTCTGTGGCTCCTGGCGTCTGACCACCACATTACCTTCCAAATGGTTTCCCAACATCAGTGCTTGTCCCCCGGATCCCCACCAACACCAGGAGAGTGTTCTTAACAGAGCGGACAGGATGATCCTTTCTAATCCTAAGCAAAACCACATCACTGCTCTGTTCAAAACCCTACAGCGGCTCCCTATTTTATTCAAGAAAAAGAAAAAGCCCAACTCACCTAACTCACTTGCCTCCTTCCAGGTTTGCTTAAGTCTTCTACTTTACTCCAGGCTTCCTGATTCCCATAAGTTGATCTATATATTTTTTTCACAGCACTACCAGTATATGATATATACTTAAACTGTGTGTGTGTGTGTGGGGGGGGG